CGCGCAGATTACTTAGCCTGGAGCAATTCCGCCTCCGGCAAAGACATGGAGAATCTCGGCAACAGGCCCCTGACCCAGAAGATCAGCAAGAGCATCCAGCCAAGACCAAGCTCACTGATCAACAAGAACCACGGAAATCCAGAGAAGGGGAAAGCAACACACAGAATTCATGGCTTTTCCTGTTATTCTTTAGTCTTGCAAAGTTAAATTTTTAATATTTTCTTTCTTTTAAAATTTTTCCTCTTTCCTATTTTAACCAACATCTTATCAATACCTTTAAAAAAATCTTTTTAATTTTCATTTTTATAGTCATATTCTATCCCATCATTGTATTTAACCTTATTTTTTGTATATTACACACACACACACACACACACACACACACGTTTTTCTTTCTTTAAAATTTTGGGAGGCAGTTTCTTCTAACAGACCAAAATACACCCCAAATCCAGTGTGTAGCTCTGCTTATTCACCAGACTGATCATATTGTTTTTTTTTTTTTCCTTTCGTTCCCCCACCTGGTTGGGGGTCTCTTCTGATTTGTTTAGTGTATAATTTTCTGGGGTCATTTCTACCGTTTCAGCATTTTTTTCTCTCATTCATCTATTCTTCTCCAGACAAAATGACAAAACAGAAACCTCACCTCAAAAAAAAAAAAAAAAAAAAAAGAGCAAGAGGCAGTACTGACTGCCAGGAACGTAATCAGTATGGACATTTGTAAGATATTGGAACTAGAGTTCAGAATGATGATTATAAAGTTAGTAGCTGGGCTCGAAAAAAGCATAGAAGATACTAGAGAATCCCTTTCTGCAGGAAAAAAGAACTAATATCTAACCCAGTTGAAATAAAAAAAGCTATGAATGAGGTTCAATAAAAAAATGGGGGCTCTTACTGCTAGGATAAATGAGGCAAAAGAGAGAATTAGTGATATGGAAGACCAAATGATGGAGAATAAAGAAGCTGAGCAAAAGAGAGACAGACAACTACTGGACCATGAGGGGAGAATTAGAGAGATAAGAGATACCATAAGACGAAACAGTATTAAAGTGTGTAACAATACAGGCCTACCTCCTGAAGCAAGAAAATCTCAAATAAACAACCTAATCTTACTCCTAAAGGAGCTAGAGGAAGAACAAGAAGTCTAAAGCCAGCAGGAGGAGAGAGATAATAAAGATCAGAGCAGAAGTAAATGATAGAGACACTAAAAAAACAATAGAACAGATGCATGAAACCAGGAGCTCGTTCTTTGAAAAAATGAATAAAATTAATAAATCTCTAGACAGACTTACCAAAAAGAAAAGAGAAATAACCCAAATAAATAGAATCACAAGTGAGAGAGGAGAGATCACATCCAACGCCACAGAAATACAAATGATTCTAAAAGAGTATTATGAAAAAAAAAAAAACACGCCAACACACTGGACAGCCTGGAAGAAATGGATAAACTCCGAGAAACATATAAATTACCAAAACTGAAACAGGAAGAAAGGAAACTTGACCAGATGGATAGTCAGCTAAGAAATAGAATCAGTCATCAAAAATCCCCCAACAATCAGAAGTCCCGGACTAGATGGCTTCACAGTGGCATTCTATGAAACATTCAAAGAAGAGTTAATACCTATGCTTCTCAAACTGCTCTAAAAAGTAGAAAATGAAGGAAAACTTCCAAATTCATTCTATGAGGCCAGTGTTGCCAATACCAAATCAGGTAAAGATCCCACCAAGGAAGAAAACTATGGTAAATATCCCTGGTGAACATGAATGCCAAAATTCTCAATAAAATACCAGCAAGTCAAGTCCAACAGCACATTAAAATAATCATTCATCACATGGGGTTTGTTCTTGGGCTGCAAAGATGGCTCAGTATTCTCAAACCAGTCAGTGCGACAAACGCTATTAATAAGAGAAAGGATAGGGGTCCCTGGGGGGCTCAGTGGGTTGAGCCTTTGCCTTCGGCTTCAGGTCATGATCTCAGGGTCTTGGGATTGAGCCCCGCATTGGGCTCTTTCCTCAGCGGGGAGCCTGCTTCCCCCTCTCTCTGCCTGTCTCTCTGCCTACTTGTGATCTCTGTCTGTTAAATAAATAAATAAAATCTTTAAAAAAATAAAAGAAAGGATAAGAACTATATGATCCTCTTAAAATTTGCAGAAGAAGCATTTTACAAAGTACAAGATCCATTTATGAGGAAATCCTCAACAAATTAGGGATAGAGGGAACCATACATCAAAATCCTAAAGCTCACATATGAAGAACCCACAGCTAATAGCATCCTCAAGAGGGAAAAACAGAGAGCTTTTTTCCTATAGTCAGAAACAAGACAGGGATGTTCACTCTTACTGCTGTTATTTTTTATTATTATTAAAGATTTTATTTATTTATTTTAGAGGAGAGGGAAGAAGGAGAGGGGGAGAGGATCTTGAGCAGACCCCCTGTTGAGCAGGGAGCCCAATGTGGGGATCAACCTCATGATTCTGAGATCATGACCTGAGCCAAAAATCAAGAGTTGGTTGTTTAACTCACTGAGACACCCAGGTGCCCCTCACCACTGTGTGTAACATAGCACTGGAAGTCCTAGCTTCAGCAATTAGACAACAACAACAACAACAACAAAAAATAAAATTCATCCAGATTTGCGAGGAAGAAGTCAAACTGTCACTATTTGTAGATAACGTGATACTATATATAGAAAACCCAGAAGACTCCACCAAGTGCTAGAACTGATAAATGAATTCAATAAAGTCACAGAATGCAAAATCGGTGTACAGAAATCTGTTGCATTTCTATACACCAATAATGAAACAGCAGAAAGAGAAATTAAGGAACCCGTCTCATTTTCAATAGCACCAAAACCAGTAAGACACGTCACAATCTACCTAACCAAGAAGTTGAAAGCCCTGTGCTCTGAAAACCATGAAACACCAATGAAAGAACTTGAAGATGACACAAGGAAATGAAAAGACACTCCATGCTCGTGGATTAGAAGAGCAAACATTGTTAAAATGTCTACACGACTGAAAGCAATCTACATTAATGCAATCCCTATCCAAATACAGACAGCTTTTTTTTCTTTTTTTAACAGAACTAGAATGAACAATCCTGAAGTGTGCATGGAAGCAAAAAAGACCTCGAATAGCCAAAGCAACCTTGAAGAAGGAAAAAAAAAAGGAAAGCCGGAGGTGTCATCGTTCAGGACTTCAAGTTGTATTACAAAGCCATAGTAACCAAGACAGTATGGTACTAGCACAAAAATAGACACAGATCAGTACACCAGAACGGAGAACCCAGAAACGAACCCACAACTCTTTATCAACTAGTCTTTGACAAAGCAGGAAAGAATGTCCAATGGGAAAAAGTCTCTTCAACAGATGGTGCTGGGAACACGGGACAGCCACATGCAAAAGAATGAAGCTGGATCATTTCCTTACACCACACACAAGAATAAATTCACAATGGATGAAAAACCTAAATGTGAGACAGGGATCCATCAAAATCCTAGCGGAGAATGTAGACAGAACCTTTTTGACATCAGAGGTGGCAACTTCTTACTAGACATGTCTTCTGAGAAAAAGGAAATTAAAGCAAAAATAAACTATTGGGACATCATCAAAATTAAAAGCTTCTGCACAGAGAAGGAAACAATCAACAAAACTAAAAGGTAACCTACGGAATGGGAGAAGGTATTTGCAAATACAGACAAAGGATTAGTATCCAAAATATATAAAGGACTTAGTAAACTCAATACCTGAAAAATGAATAATCCAATGAAAAAATGGGAAGAAGACATGAATAAACATTTTTCCAGAAAAGACATCCAGATGTCCAATAGACACATGAAAAGATGCTCATTATCACTCATCATCAGGGAAATGCAAATCAAAACCATGATGAGATACCAACTCACAGCTCTCAGAATGGCTAAAACTAACAACACGTGTTGGAGAGGATGTGGAGAAAGGGGAACCCTCTTACACTGTTGGTGGGAGTGGAAAATGGTGCAGCCACTGTGGAAAATAGTAAGAAGGTTCCTCAAGAAGTTAAAAATAGGGGCACCTGGGTAGCTCAGGGGGTTAAGCCTCTGCCTTTGGCTCAGGTCATGATCTCAGGGTCCTGGGATAGAGCCCCGCATCAGGCTCCCTGCTCATTGGGATTGAGCTGCATGTTGGGCTCTCTGCTCAGTGGGGAACCTGCTTCTCCCTCTCCCTCTGTGCTCTCTCTTTCAAACAAATAAACACATACATAAAATCTGGAAAAAATTAAACTATTTGGCATGGTCAATTGCTTAGAATGTGTTGCTTTTACTTCTCCCTGCTGAGGTTCAGGTGAGCAAGCCCATGGATGTGAGAGCTGGGGGGGGGGTGCAGACGTGGGGGCTGCTCACCCTTCACAGGAGTCAGTTAATGCTAGAAACCCAGTGGGGGGCATGAGGGTGACCCTGTGCACAGCGGCTGGATGACAGACGGCTGCTTCCTGATATCTGCAAGACGGGCAGGACAGCTCTGGGTGAGGAGAGAGCGCACGTTCCGGGTAGGATAAAAGGACTCAGCAATAGGGGCTTTTCCTTGGAGCAGGAAAAGACCTTTCCTTCAAAGAGCCCCACAGTTATATGTGCACCTCCATGTTGCACAGAACCACAGAGTGTTCTGGATGCACTGGTACCCACATAACAGGGAGTCAGTTCCACCCCCGCCCCAGCATTCGTTGTGGCTGGCAATGTATTTGGGGATGCTCTGTCTACTCGTGTACGCCACTGGCGGTCCAGTTAGTAGAGGCGTGAAGGATTAGGCTGTTCACGTGCTAGAGAACCAACAGTGGGACTCGTGAATGAATGCTTCGCTTACTTGGCTGGTTTCCTATCTTAGAGACCGTGTCCCCACCGTGAGTAAATGGCAGCCCAGGGGCCCAGAGGAGTCAATGGGCCTATTGCCAAGGTGATTTGCATTCTTTTCTGCAAAAGGACTTTTTCTTCCCACTGAATACAATCGAAAGGAGAAAAGCCATACCTGTAGTATTCATCTCCCACAAAGAAAAGCGTCTTCTGCACGTCCTTGAGGTAGACGGCGGCATCTATCCGCTGCACATACCTCGGGAAGCCAAAATCATAAATAGTTCGAGGAGGACCCTGCATTTGGAAGCCTCTCGTTATCCAGTAGTGGGGGCCTGAAGACAGAAAGTAAAGTTCACAAACACTCAGTACCACTCAGCGATGTACTTCACTCCTGAGGACTTCTACGCAGGGTCCCACATGGGAATAGTTTATGGGATGGTTGCCATGGTCATAAGCCGATATATAAGCTTGGATTCAGTTCAAACTACTCTGCAGGTAAGCATCTCTTAGTGATGTCCTAGCAAAACAGTAATTTTGATACGATTGTATCTTAAATCTCACACATTAATTTTTTCAAGATACTTTTCTTGTGTGTAACCTCATTTCAGTCTCATCCAGATGCATGGGAGAGAAGGGGCCTGTGAGAGAGAAATGCTGCGGGTCGTTAGCCAGCACTGGCCTTGTAGCTTCCTCCCCCAGCTTCCAGAAAAAGAAGCTAAACTTGACAGGGGCCACCTACTGGGTAACCCCCATTGGCCAGCCACTGTCACATCTCTGAGCTTGCTATTACTATAACCCCTTATCAGCCCAGGAAGAAATGAAGGCTCAGAGCAGTTAGGTAGAGTCACTCTGACGGTAAGGGGCTGGGGTCAGAGACTGACAACATTGTGCCCACCTCCCAGAGTCACAGGTTAGGGTCCTGCTTCTGAGAAGGACATGGCAGCAAGGGCATCGTTCTCCTAACTGGGGTGCCATGTTGGATTTGCTGACTAGAGGCTCTCAGTGGGCTACACCATGTCACCCTGAGGGGTGGGGACAAAGTCTGTAGCCCCCTGGGCACTGTCACTTTGCACAGTGTCTCTCTAAGGTAGAGCATTAGCTCTGAGAACATTGTGACGGTCATTGTCCTTCCTGCCACTGCTATAGAACAACAGAGTGGCATTTCGTGGCTAAGCTGAGGAGGAGTGACCAGCGCATGTCCCACCATCCCTGACCAAATGCTACCAGCACTAGAGGCTCCCCACATCCCCGGCCGATCCTGTCCCTCACGGATGTGTAAGGTACCTTTGAAGAAGTAAGCAGTGCCCCTGTCGGCCACTTCGTAAGCTGCGTCCACGTTGGACATAAGCTGAGGGAAGGAGCTGGTAATGGTGCTGGGCCGGATCCCCCCCATCACGTGAACTTGCCGACGCCAGAAGATCCTGTTGGGCAATCCACAAGACCAACGGTTGATTTAGATCTTGAACCGGACGTGGACCCGCGTGTCTACAAACCACAGTTCAGGGGCCGTTCCTCAATGCCTCATGCCCCTAACTTGTTTTCATAAGGAGAGCATAGGTTTTTGACCTTATTAAATAGTTCTTTTCCCTTTTCATTCTTTGAGCCTCCTTGGAACCCCTTTCCTTCATTTACTTAAGGACGTGCCCGACATGGAAGGATGCGGCAAGGAGAAAACCCGGTGTTTCACACATTTCACCCGTGCCCCTTCCCAGTCCAGGTATCCCTTGATAGAAATGTCCTTTTCCTTTCTACTCTTTTAAAAACTAAAATCTCATAACGATAAAATACAATCCTTGTGAATGTTTTGAATATTACAATTAAACCACACCTCTGTGGTTGGGAGTGAGAGTTATTCCCAATAAAGCCAGCAAGAACACTCACAATCATCTGTTATATTGGAAGTTATCTGCTGAATACTTACCTCTTGAAAGTGCTTCTATTCCTGAAATCAATGGCTAGTTAACAGAAAATCTGGTACCCACCAGTTAACTCCAGTTTTGGCAACTCATCCATCCATGCACCCAAAACTATTCCCATCAATCTGTGGCAATACCACGAGGGTATTGGGCTGAAACGCTCACTATAAATGGGGTCCATTTCGAATTGTGGAGGTGAAACTCATTTTTGTAAAATATGAGTTTACTTGACTCTGTAGAAAGCAGAATCTATACATACAATTATTTGTGGGCAGGGAAACTGTAATAAATTTTGACATTTAATTTTCTGGGTAGTTCGTGTAGGAACTCCTGATCTAATGCTGAGTTTTCCAGTTCAGATAATTTAACAAATATTTACAGTGTGCCTGTCAGCCGGGATGGTGGTAGACATAAAAGACGGGACATTGAAGGAGACCCGGGTCCTGCCTCAGGGAGCTGAGTGCCCAGGCTGTTTGGATCATAATCAGACGGTTAGGACTCGTCCTACACAGTCAAGTTCAGGAGGCGGACACAGAGCATACCCCACAGGAGGGAAAGTCCGCTGCATTCGGGGCTTTGGTGAAGGCATCATGGGGGGGGCAGTGTAAGCTGACAGTGAATTAAAAGAGCTTCACTGAGAGAGGCATGGCTTCGTTTCCCATGTGGCATCGGGATGCAGAAGGACAAGCGCACCATGCTTCCGGAGATGTAGTCTTGAGTTCTAACTCTGACCGGCATCTCCGAGCTCAGTCTTGTCATCTCATAGATGCAAACAGTACTTGCCGTGTCTCCTGAAGTCGTTCTGAGGATCCAAGGAGAGAAGGCGCAGGAAAGTGATCCTAAACCATAAAGGGCCCTCGAGCTAGACATCGTCCGTTCTAAACATTATGATTTGCCTAGGACTCACCCACCCGCTACCATGACACACGGGGTGGCAGGCCCCGTGGCAGGTGCGCTGGCTCGCCCCACGCCCTACATGTCACAGCCTGTTCTAACACCGGTATTAACAGGTGACACACCGGGGCTCAGACTCGTGGGCCCAGGGGTCCCCTGTTGTTCGGGGCTGGCCGGATATTCCTGTCCACCTGTCTGACCTCCTTGCTCCTTCCCAGCCTTGCGATCTTTGCTTTCCTGTGTTCGTAACTGGACGCCCGTCCAGTCAGATCTAGGCTTTCCTGAGAGCAACCGCCTTCCCCTTCTCCTTCCTCTCTGCCGCCACCATGCAAGCATGGGTTTGGGGAGTCCCACAGATTTGGGTCACGACAACAGATAAATGCATCGTGTCCATAGCCTGTCATCTGATTCTTGATAATGACGCAGTGATTGGGAAACTGAGGAGAAATCCGTAAAATGAGGGCTTTTCACTGAATTCGGTACTTGGTTCTGAAATGCTGACTCTGGTCACGCATCCATGCTGGATGCTCACCAGGCACCGAGGTGTGTTTCGGGGTTCTGCCGTGGTGGGGACGAGGAGGTGGTGGCGGGCAGGGGAGGCTCTCTCCACATCACGTCTCTGAGGAGCGCGTGGACTCCCGGGTACTTCCTCCTTGGGCTCCTAATGCGGGGAAACACTTGCTCTCATTTTTCCTTTAAAAATGGGCGGCAGCGCTAGGCACCCGGAAACCCTATCTTTCCTGGGACGTTTGGGCTCGGCTGCCCCGAGTGACTCAGGAGGAGAGGTCGTGGAATGTGGAGCACCCGCAGACCCACAGGGTGCTTTGGGGACTTCTCTCACGTGGTAGAATGTAAAAGTCCTTTCCAGATCAGCCCTGACTGACACGGCAGGAATCGTGGGGACTTCAGGGGAAGTGGACTGGTCACACTCAACCAAGGGTGATTTTGAGCACCCAGAGACCCTGGCCGTGTTTGTTGACAGTCATGCGTGTCACCGCTGGGGGAGGTCGGGGCTGTTGGCTCCAGCGGGAGGCCGGCCAGGGAAGGCCCGCAGCGCGCCCCTCGCCCAGCAAGGACCACTTGGCCTCAAAGTGCCAGCAGATCCAAAGGCAAGGAGCCCGGGGTTAGACAGCGGTACAATGCACAAGCTACACACGTAAGGTAGAAAAGTTACTATCCATCACTTAGGAAAAGTTGCACAAATTCCAGAAGAAAATGTGATCCCGAACCCTCTGACACCAACAGTGGGTAGTGGAATGCGGGGCGCACAGCCGGAGGGTTTACCGACTCGGAGCGGAGATGACACACGTAAATGGGCTACGATGGACTCAAACCCTGAGGAGAGCAAGACCCTCTTCATGCGTCTGCACGTGGGTTTGAAACACAAACGAAAAGAGAACTGATCTGCGACCTTGCCGGCGACCTCGCCGGAGACTTCGCCGGGAAGGAGCAGCTCCAGGGTGTGGGCGAACTGGTCACAGAAGGCGGAGGATTTATCAGCGGCCTGTCACCTGATCTTGATAAGGAGGACGGAACAATGGCACGCATTGACAGTAGACGCCCGCGGATGGTGTATTTAGCCGTGTGGTTTATCTCGGGCTTGCAGGAGCCAACGCGGTGCCTGGTACACAGTCAGAGCTCAATAAATACTTGTTGGCTGAGTGAATGGGTGCCAGGGAGTGAGAGGAACTCATGAGATCACCGATATTCACAGGCTCTGCAATTTTCATTCCCTTTTCTCAAAGAACAGCAGCTAATTCAACTTGGAGATGGGCTCGCTGGTAGCCTTCACCGGGGGCAGGGTCCTGATGATCCGTCTTTCTGTCCTCTGGCTTACGGGGCACCTGGCACACCTGGGGACGTGACCCTCAGTTGCCGAACTTCTGTTCATCCTGTGTGGGGCCCGACCCGCTTCACCCCGACCTGGGTAAGGAGCCTGTCACCTCCTTGTTGCTGGACCGTCACGGGATTCAGCAGGAGCTGAGTGGGGGGGACCTTCCTCATTCATCATCTTCAACCCTTGACTCTCCTTGACTCGTTGCAGGGGGAGGAGGGATCCCCTTCTGCTCTTGATGTTTGCAATGGAATTGCTGCTTCTCTCCCACTGAGAGCTTGAAACCTGGTTTTATCATTGGGTGTGTGACCTTGTGTGAGTCACTCAATTTTTCAGACTCAGTTTCCTTCCATCACATAAGAGCGAGAATTCTAGTAACACGGATGCCAATCCTTCAAAGGATGAATTGTGACAATGTACCTGAGGGTGTCTTGTAAGCTCTCAGTCCTCCCAACAGTAACTGGTAGACACTGTAGAAACACACATGTTTTCCCTCTACAGATGTATCGATTGGTGATGGCTACATCTTAGAGTTTATCAGCGGAACAAAGTTTCTTTCTGAATTTGCTTCGCTGACATGAAGTTCTCATCACTAGAAACTCTGAAGTACACTCACATCCTTGGCTGAAATGGCCTCATCCTGGGGCTCCACTCACCAGGTCTGCTACATCAGAAGGCTTTGGAGGCTGAGAAATCAAGCATGTACCGTTCACCTCTCTGAGCCCCGGAAGAACACGGCTTATAGAATCAAAGACCCATGTGTAGACGGCGCTTAAAAGTCGTCAGAGCCTCGTGTGCCACATTGTTCATCCCACGGGAGGAGCCTGTGGGTGCCCATGCCGGCAAACCGTGGTCTGGAAAGGGTCCCAGCCCCAGCCAGGGAGTCCAGAGGAGGTGACAGCAGATCAGGGATGGTGACACGCCTCCTGCCTCTTGGTCGGAGTTCTCATACATAACCCGGACTCAGGCTAAGTAAGCACCGTGCCGCTTGCTGACTTCACGACGCAGTCTCACAACCAGAAGAGACACATCCCCTGGAGACTGAAGGAGCATGACGCCCCCCTCAGTTGTGCGGGCTCTGCTCAAACCCGTGGACTCCGCAGAACGCCAGGTTCCAAAAAGTCCTGTCCGGGAAGAGGAGGGGCTGATGTCCTGTCCCTCCTTCCGCAGACCCCCCGCATTTCTGTTTCTCCACCAGCTCCTACTCCCGTCTCCTAACAGTTCTGGGTAGTTTCCAGGCTTGGAAACTCCTCCCAGACACGGCTGCCCGTGCCAGCTGTAGTCTTTGCGGACCTCGCTGTTACTAACACGACTGCCAGGTCAGTGGTCTGCATCACCATTTCCACCCACTCCCTCCTTCTGCTCTCTGGCTGTTTCACTCCCCAGGCCCTGGACCTCCTCCTCACAACTCCTCTGGAAGGACACACGTAAATCATCCTGGCCGGGCTGTCCCTTTGCTTCAGGCCTCGGTCTGAGGGTCCCAGCGTCCCTCTCCCCTATGGATCACTTTGAAGATTCATTTATTTCTTTGAGAGAGAGAGAGGGAGAGCATGAGCAGGGGGAGGGGCAGAGGGAGAAGGAGAACCTCAAGGTTCTCCACACGGAGCCTGGAGCCCGATGCGGGGCTCGATCCCATGACCCTGAGATCACGACCTGAGCCGAAATGAGGAGACGCACGGCCACCGACGGAGCCACCCCGGTGCCCTGCACTACTGATCACTTTGGAAGAAAATCCTCTCTTCCTTGACTTGTGTGGGGCTCCGTTAGGGGACTCTGT